TATATATGTGTGTGTGTGTGTGTGTGTGTGTGTGTGTGTGTGTGTGTGTGTGTGTATATATATATACATATATATATAGTGTTCTTTTGATATAGAAGGGACTTTTATTCCAGGCTTGGTCAAGCACACCTAACCCAGCACTCAGGCTGAGGCAGAAGGATAGCTGTGACTCTGAGCCCAGCCTAGGCTACATAGTAAGTTCAAGGCCAGCTTGAACTACATAGTGAGGCCTGTAACCAATATACAGTTCATGATACTTTTTGCGATGAATTTTAAGTAGTATATGCCATAAAAATAATTATCACAAAGTGGGAGAAACAGGACATGTTTTAATCATAAAAAGTTATTTAATACTTGAAAAAGTTGGAAAACATTTGCCTAGCACAATGGGCTCCAAACTCTTCAGAGCTTCCTTAACAAAAAAAAAATAACCAAACAAACAAAAAAAACACTCCATACATGTATATTTATTTCAAAATGTGTTCAACAATATTAATGTGTTATAAAATATCATAAATAGCTATAAGGTAGAAAAAAGAATAGGATTAAAAAGATAACACAGACATTTTGATTTTTTCCTTATGCCTTATGGTGTCTTACATACCTATGGGAGAGTATGCACCCTACTTTGGAGCCAAGGTGGATTCTGAAAAGGTGAAAAAGATTTTCCCCTTAGGGTTTACTTTAAAGCATAATAGACAGTTTAAATCAAGATCCTTGCTCAGTTTGCTAAGTCCCATTGGTCACCAGTTAGGCTTTTTCATCAGAAGGACCACAGTGTGGTGCATGGTAAACAAGAAACTGTATAATTAATTAGCTGCTGAGTTTAGAGGAAAAATATTCTTCCCAGAGAATTCACACTAGCCACAAGCATTTTGGCAGGGAAGAGAGGGGCCTGAAAAGTCTTGAGGACCTTCTCAGAGCCACTTCCTTAAATATAGTTGTTTTGCTTTCCCTTTAAGAGCTGAGAAGAAGTGTTGTGCTTGCTTATGGGAGGCATTTTCTTTTCTTTCTGTGTGTTTATTTATTTATTTATTTATTTTTGGTGGTGGTGGAGTTGTTGCCTTAGTAGGTATTGAACCTAGGGCTTTTCACATGCTGAGTGTTCTACAACTAAGCTACATTCCCATCCCTTTCTAAAATATTATATTTTGATCTGGGCATGCCAGTGATCTCAGCACTCTAGGAGGCTGGGATAGAACAATTGAAAATTTGAGCGTAATCTGGGCTTCACAGGTTAACTTTGCATCACAGTCTCAAAGTAAAAAGGGGTTGTTCAATCAGTTTAATCAGTTTAATCCCCGGTACTGAAAAAAGTATTATATTGAGATGGTCTAGTTACTGAAAGTTGCCTGGGTTGGCCTGGAATTTGATCCTCCTGACACAGGAGTAGCTGGAATGAAAGGTGTTGGCCTGGAATGGTGTATGGAGCTGTATAGTGCTTCTCCATGTTTACCTTTCTTCTACAGACCCAGGGAATCATCTGATTTTGGTTGCTGAGCTCTTCCTCACTTGTGGAAAACAGCATATTTGATCAAAAGACTCCACTCCCTACTTCACTTGGCTTGTAAAGTAGCAATCCTAGCTCCTGATGTCCTAGGCAGAGTTTTCAGTCAGATTATTAGATGTTTTGTTTTTCATGACCTATAAAAACTTGCAAATACCTGATAGATCAAGTCCAACCTGCTCGCTTTGTCATCTACTATAGTTTGAATAGCTCCTTTCTCTTCCACCTTCCCCATCTAAGGACACAGCAGAGAAGCCCAGTTAGATGACTGTGACTTGCTCTGGAACTTCCCAAGCTCCAGAACTTCGAGAAATAAGTATTCTTTACAGTCAGTCTTTTGGATATTGTGTTATCACAATATAAATATATTTTATTAACACAATATAAATAGAGAGCATTCAAGACTTTATTTTACATATCCAATGCATACATTATATATCTTTAAATTCAAACTTCTCCTTCAGAATAGTCTTCTTACTCCCTTTCCTAACACTCCTAAGATAAGTCAGCCTTGTGTATACAAGTGCACACATGCATGAATAGACACACACATTGACACACTTGCTTATTCTATTTTCTATGTCCTTAGGCTGTTTACCTCAAGTGGAAACCCTGCTACTTCTCCATTTCAAAATCCTATCCACTCTTCAAAAACAAGATGAGTCCTACTTCTAATGCAAATATTTTACTCAGTGTTTTTTCAGGTGTAGCCCTCAGACAGTCTTCATTAATATCACCTAACACAATTGTGAATTCTCGGTTACCACCTGAGACCTTGTTGCTCATTGTAAATGTGCATCCTTGGTTTTTACCACAGTGTTTGTAAACTGTAACTACTGGAAATAAGGCTCCAGAATCTACACAGAGCAGTTTTAGGGGCACTGTTATCTGATGGGCTATGGCCTAGAACACAGCCTTCTTAAACAGAGTCCATTTCTCTCTTCAATTCATTCCTATAAAAAAGATGTCACTGAGTGATCTACAAAAACTAATTGGATTCAGGCTTAAGGCTTTGTTCTCTTTCATTGTTGTAAATTAAATCACAATATTAGTGAGGTCTTCCACATTTAAAACATAATGAGGACTGCAGGCCTTAAGGCAAGTCATTCCATAGCCCAGTTGCTATGGATTTGCACCCATGTTGTGAAACCGATCTCTAAAGGCCAAAAACAAGACAAACTGTGTAGAATACAATTAGGAATGTAGGGTAAGGATGAGAGGTGCATTAGGTCTAGTTGGCAGGTGTGAATGTGTTTACCAGTCCCTGGGTTCCTGCAGAAAGAGGACTGAAAGTGAATTTCTGCCATGGGTTTTAGTATAAAAGAACTGAACAAGGATATTGTGCCCTCTGCTGGCCTTTCTCTCAGGACTTCTTTTCTTTCTTTTCTTTTATTTGTACAGGAGATGGAACTCGGGATCTTAGGAGGCAGGTGATGGCACCACTGAGCTATATCCCTAGTTCTTCTTTCCCTTTTCCATTAGGAAAGAGAAAGAACATGAGTTAGGCTAAAATATGAGGAAGTAGTACTATACATTGAATGTTCCTAAGTTTACCTCTGTTAAATAAAGAGCATAAGGCAGGGTGAAGGGCGCGTGGGGACAAGGGGAAAAAATGAGAACCAAGACCTGGCATGTAAAGGTACAAGATCCCAGTAATGAATGTAACTGTACTGTCTACTTAGAATGTACCAATAAATTAAATTTTTTAAAAAAGAGCATAAGTGCCCAGGAATGCCAGCCTTTACCTAGAAAGCAAGGAGAAACCCCTACCAGTTCTGCCTAGTGTTCCCTTTGTCTTTGTAGTGAGGAGTCTCACTGCATTAAGAAACTGGATTCTGTGTGTGTGTGTGTGTGTGTGTGTGTGTGTGTGTGTGTGACCAATTAGTACCACCAGCTTCATCTTTGATTGTAAAACAATCCCAGATGGAAATAATTGCATTCATAAGCCCTTATATTTATGGAATGCCTTTTCCAGAAAGCTCATAATACAGTACTGTATGGCATAACTTAGTTTGTTCCTGGATTATCTCCATGTGCACAGTAAAGAGCAGCTTATATAACCACTGTTGTTCTTTGCTATTTGGAGGGTAAAGAAACTTTGCAGGTTGACATTAGTGGCAAAATTAGAGAGGGGACACGGAGGTTGTACTCCTGTCTGTATCAGTGATTTTTTTTTTATCAGTGATTTTGAAACAGGTCCACAGACTATTTCCAGAAGCGCTGCATAAGAACCACTTGTGGGATTAATATTTGAAATTCCTGGACTCCATTCTTCTCGATTCCTCTGACTCAGTAGGTCTAGGGTGGGGTCCAAGAATCTATATTCTTTATAAGCATTGCAGATACCTCTGATTCACAGCCAAATTTAAAATCCACACTATAGACAACTCCCAGAAATGTCTTGACTGGAACATGCCTTTTTAATATCTTTCTTCTTGCTCCTCACTCTATACCTTCTATAGACCTCCCAGCCTAAGCCAAGAAACATGCTGAATCTGCCAAGAGCACACTCTTGACCTGGAAGGGAAAAACAGCCTCAAGGAGAAAAAGGAAATCCTAGAAGCTCTGGTCATGTTCTACTATACTTTGGGGGTGGCCTGGCTGCTACAGAACCAATATCCTTTCCTTCCCAGATGGGTCTGGTGATCAGGGCCACAGGCTACACATGCCGGAAGGGTCATTTCACATGGGAGAATAGGAGATGAAACCATGTTATTGTAGCTGTGTTCCAACATCACAGGCCCCCTACATACCATACTTACATCCACCTAGAAAGATATGTATTTTCCTCCTGTGTCTATTCATGTAAGCCCTGAGTTGAGCACTGGGAGGGAATTAATTAGTAACACATTCCCTACCCAGTTGAAAAATTTCCAAGTCTGACGGCTCTTTATTGAGCACCCAAGAAAGTTAACATTAGCAATGTAGATAGTGATAGTATAGGAATGGAAAGCGATGGTAATTTAGAGTAAAGTGTGACAGACTAGGTTGTACAATGTGATTCCCTAGGAAGCTTTAAGATTTAAAGGGTATGGGCCCTACCCCAGGAATACTTAGTAGCCCCCAAAGTGTTGGTAATGTGCAACCTAAAACCACTGATTTAATACATTTTTGATCATTTTAGGTTTTGTTGTTGTTGTTGTTGAAATACTATTGAGAACATTGCCAACCAACAAAAATAGATAAATGAAGCAGTTTTATACAACCAGGGGGGACCATGGTATATGCCTGTGTTAGCTTTCCACCATTATGGCAAGTACCTGAGATAATCAACTTATAAATAGATAACTTGTATTTTGGCTTACAGTTTTAGAGTTTTAGAGGTTTCAGACTATAATATGTTGGCCCCTATACTTTTGGGCCTGTGGCAAAGCAGTATATCATGGTGGAGCACATAGCAGAGCAAAACCCCTCACCTCATTGCCTGGGGCAAAAAAGAGAACTGGATGAGAGCCCACTATCTCCTTCAAAGATATGTTACCAATGACCTTGTAAAAAATTCCAGCACCTCCCAGTAACACCTTGCTAGAAAGCAAGCTCTTTCCACGTGGACCTTTGCTAAACCCTAATACCCAGACTTATGGTAGTACCTTTGCTCAAGAAGTTTGTGATTTTGATAGCCTTTTGATAGCATTACCACTTGAAAGATACTAATAACATTTATAGTCAGGAGCACTCTGAGCCCATGTGCTTCCAGTTCCTTCTCTCTATACGGCCCCCCTCTAGTTTTTGGTTCTGTTGCTCAACTTCCAAAATGTGATGTGGCATTCTCCATCATACCCTTATCAAGGAGTCTATGAAAAATGTGGGAAATAGAAGGGTATTTGGGAATTAAGGGGATTTCTTTCCTTCTATTTGCATCTGGCCCAAAACTCACTCTTCTTGGATTTTTAAAAATGACCCAGAAAGTCCCTTGCAGCATAATTAGTTCCTCTCTTTTACCATTCTTACAAAACAACATGGGAAAAATGAGTAACTGTTGTCATGCAGTAGATGCTGCAAAAGGAAATTTAGTACATTTACAGTTTCCTTTCACTCCTGCAAACCCTCATCCACTCCAGACACAGATTCAGGCAAGCACTAAAGGAATTCCAAGACCTTGTTCTTTTTCCAGAGAATTCTTTCTTCTTGACATACACACAGGGAGAATAAAGAGCATAGTTAAATAGCCATTTCCAAATACTGCTTTATTTTCCCAAAGGGCCGTTTCATTTGCCTTTCAACTGCAGTCCCTATGCAGTGGCGGCTGGTTTGTGTGCCTGGCATTTACCTTGACTGTTTCACTGGCAGAGAGGCCTATTTGAACCTGCAGAAGGCAGACAGAAACATAAATGAGCTGAAAGAATTGAACAAGGAAGATGTTTGTGGATTACAGATCTCAGAGAAAGACCTTACAATTGCATTGGGCAGGTAAGATCTGGACCTAGCAAAGCTGAAGCTTTACAAATGAGAGCTGGAATTACATGATGTTCTACACTCTAGAAAGTTATTCAAAACAAAAAGCCAAGACACTCAAAATGAAAATAAAAGAGACTTACATTTGTCAAATGTATACTCTGCTCCAAACTTACCACGTACTGCTGAATTTAATCCTTGTAACCACCGTTGACACAGTTTCATTAAAGAGAAGACAAGGACAAGGAGTCTTCTGATGTTAAACAAATTGTGTAAGGTAACCTATCTTATTAGTGTTAAATCTGTAATCTAAACTCACTGACTTTTGGACATTCCTTATACTGCCTCTCACGCTTCTTCTAGGACTAATTATATGTTTATTTTCCAAATGATCTGCTACTTTTGCCCACTTTAAGAGTATGACATCTTAGGGAAAGAAACATGAAATGGAGATGCTTAATTGGAAGCCATGAAACCTGTGAATAGCACATGTGTTGTTAAGGGAAGTTCTGTTCGTTATAGAAACAAAGTTCATGGAATTTGTTCAAGCCAGAACAAGTCTTAACTGTTTTGCAGTTGAGTTAGGGATCCTCTGAGAATCAGAATATTTAGAAATGAGAGTGGGCCTAGGTTATCAGAGGAAAAAAAATAATGAAAAGTTTACCTTTCTCTAGATTTTTCAAATATCTTTACATCCTTGAAATCAGTCTGTTTCCAAAACTGTAAGTATTTGGCATATTAGAGCAGATGACTGAATAAATGAAATGCATGCATCATGTCTGCCTCCTCTAAACAATCATGAATCCTCAAGTCAAATGCAAAATGATGGGGAGTTGTTGGAATGTCCAGAACTAAATCAAACCATTGACTTAAGTCCATAGGGCCATAAATTAGAGTCTGATCAATCTGTAAGGCTGTTACACAGGGCAGTGGTTAATTTTTTCTGCCTTATGTGAAGGAAAGCCTTGTTTCTTTGTCAGAAGGAATCCTAGTGCTTACTTCATTCATTTATTCCATGATATTTATCGAGTACTTTGTGCATGCACTGTTCTAAGTGTCAGAGGCTAACTTATTTACTAGATACCATTCCCAGTACGTACATAACTTATTTATTCAATCCTCTCCTTAGCCTGTGAGTATACTTTTTATTATTTTTCATTTTACATTTTACTTATAAAGTACAGAACGATTAATTCATAGTGACAACTAATAGAAGAGTCTGGGTTTTAACTGGAGCATCAGAATTCCTTCTGTACCACACTGAATTATACTTGATATTGACCAAATATCTAGTGAGGTTAGATACATTTTCCTATTTTGAGGGTAGGGAAACTGAAGCAAGAATATTTGGATCAGGCAACTTGCTAATATTGCCTTACAAGCTCTTAATGAGAGCCACTATCATTCTATATTCTGGTCTTATGGTCAAAGGAAATAATGTTCTGATTGATTAAAAAATATTTTTAACAAAGAATTATGGAATAACATAATAGTGCTCTTTTCTATATTAATCCTAATCTTCAAGGAAAAGATAAACCTCCCGGTTTGAAACAATTGTGACTATTGCTAGAATGACAGTGAAGTAATTTTTTAAAATGTACCTTGGGAATACAAACATAAGGCAAGGGGGAAGAATGAAGTAGTTCTGAATATGTGTCTACTATATGTTAGGTGAATTTACATATTTAATCTTCACAAGACTATCATTTAGATATGTTTAGTTGTGCTTTATTTTCAAGGAAATATTGGCTCCTAGAGTTTGATAAAGTTATTAACCATCAGAATAAACTTTGATGTACACTTGTTCTTGATATGCATTCCTGTTTCTGAAAAGATAATCACAATAAGATACTATCTAAAACAATTATGCTCTCAGTTTTGTTGTGGAAAATTTGAAAATTCAGACATCCAGATGTAACTGATATGAACATTTGCCTAGCCATTTCAGTATCATATTTTAAGTTGTCTTATATATTATATTCATTTTATTTTGATTACCTCTCCATATTGTTAATCTAAAACTAAACACAGTTCTCTAAAGTATTTTAACATATGATATTCCATAATTTATTTAGCCACCCTCTCCCTTTGGAGGATAGTTACAGTGTTTTCTCTGTCATTTCTTATCTAAAGTAAATCAAACAAAACAAAACAAAAACTTTCTTTAGCCTGAAAGGCAGAGAAACAGAAGTAATACAATTTTATTTTGATTTTAGAGAGTCTGTGTTGGATAAATTATTCTATCTTCTGATTTACCAGCTACCATTTTTTACCATTTACTTTTATATAAACCTTAGATGATAGCACATCTCTATTAATGGTTTAAATAAATGGTAGGCAGTGGAATTTGATGGGTAAAATATAGGGTCGTGGGAGTCTATTTACAATAAATCTAGATTTTTAAGCCAGATCGTTCTTTGAATTTTAGGATTCATTCCTATGAGTCTGCAAAGTAAATCACCTCTCTGTGACTTCATTTCTTTTCTTGTAGAGCCTCCCTGGCTATCCACAGGTTGAACCTAGCTCTGGCATATTTTGAAAAGGCAGTTGGCATTGTTATTGCTGCCAAGGGTGATGGCACATCAGATCTGATCAAACTGTATAAGGAGATTGCTTAAATAGAGCAGTTGAGGAGGAACCACAAGCAGGCCATCCAGTACTTGAAACAGGTTGGTGAGTTGGCTGGAATCCCGGCAGAGAGTAGCCTTGTTTGCCCCAGTCCCCAGGGTCAGGGAAGTTTGGGCTTTTCACAACATACGAGGGGAATTAGTTCCATTTTAACCCTAACTTCCCTCCAGATCTCCATAAGTGTCCATCAACAACTTTAAGTGACATAGACAAAGAACATTGACTCAGGTGAGCATAGCGGCTGTGTGACCTCATTAGGAGACAGTGCTTCCCCACCCAGGTTTTTTCCCATCTTTCGGTGCTGAGAAGAGGGAACCAAGTGTGAGTCTACTCCAAGGAAAAATTCATCAAAGCAACTGAACTTAAGTCTTCAACAAAGAGCCATTTAAACAAAAAAGAGTATTTTGGTACAATGCTTTCATTTGTCCTCTATACTAATCCAGCTAATTGTAATTCCAAGTCTGAGGTTAAACTAACAAAAAGGAGTTTCACTTGGGGTAACTAATTTCACAATGCTCAGGGGGAAAGAAACCAACACATAGGAATCACAGTTTAAGGTATGTACTTTATGTAGCGTATACTTGAAACTACTAGTTAAATTCCCCTTTTTCTCTTCTAAATAAGAATTCTGCTTATGGCTTCCAGTATCTTCCATAGCCTCAAACTGGGCAAAACACTTCCTGTAGCATAGGAAACTTATTGCAGACAGTCTGACAGTCCAAGACTGTAAACATCACGCAATAGAGAAATGTTAGGGAATGCTGCTCTGAAGGCAGCACTCTAGGGCTTATAGAGAAAGCAGTCTGAGTTTTGAGTTCGGTTCTTTCTGAAAGCAGTGGTGAGATCAGAATGGATAAAACAATAAATATCAGTGTTTTTCAACAACAAAAATCATGAGTTGAAATTTATGGCATGTTTTTATTATGTGCACCTGAGGATGAATTAATTCATTTAATCCAGATGATAACCCTGTGCAGTAGATACCAGTTTTACTTCATTGTAAGGAAAAATGAAGCACAGAGCTTAATGGCTAATTCAGCTAAACCTATACAGCAAACAGGTGTCAAAGCAAGGACTTGAACTCAGAAAACTTGATCTTGGAGCCTGTATTTACAAAAACTCCACTCTTGCCTCTAAAGTGTTGTCTCATATCCCTTCAGGCCCCTGAAACACCTCAGAGTTTGGCCTATGAAATATTAAGCAGGGTGGCTTTCTTGCTGTTGGGTATAGACTAGATACTTCTACTTTTCTTTCTCCTTCCTGTTACTCTTTCCATGTGAACACACACACAAAAATAAAAGTTTATATTTCTTCAATGCTTTCTATTTGCCAAGTGGTGTCCTAAACACTTTACATATATGTATGCTATTTATAATAACCCTTTGTGACTTATGCTATTTTCATCATCCCTGTTTTGCATTTCAAGAGGCTAAGAAGTGACCTACTTTATATCACAATAAATGGCTGGGTTTTGATAGGGTTTCAGGTAGTATATTTCTAGGGTCCATGCTTTATAACTGTCTTTAATACCAGACTCTTGAGAGGCTGAGCTAAGGTTATAATTTTATTTTTTTCTGTGAAGCCTAGTAAAAATAATATTAGCTAACATTTATTAAAAACTTACTAGCCAGGGATTTAGCTCAGCGGCACAGCGCCTGCCTGGCAAGCATGAAGTACTGAGTTCGATCCCAGTATGAAAAAGAAAAAAAAGAACTTATCATGGAATTAGTACTGTGCCTAGTGCTTTGTATACACTGATTTATTTAATCTTTCTTAATTAGCAGAAACCATATTTCTTCGGCATAATAAGGCAAAAGGACTTGCTGAAAACTCATAGCTACAAAATAACTGCTCTAGGGCTCAGAGTCATTTGTTATGGTTTAAGTAGGAATTGTCCTCCAAAACTCAGGTTTGAAGATTTGATCGCCAGTGCAGCAGTGTTCAAGGAGATGTTGATCTCATTAATGGATTAACTCAATGATGAATTTGTAGCTGACTGGGCTGGTAGGAGGTGGGGCCCAGATGGAAAAAGTAGGTCACTGAGAGTGTGCCTTTGAAAGGTGTATCTTGTTCTAGACCCCATTTTTCTCTCTCTCCCTCTCCCTCTCTCTCCCTCCTCCCCCCTTCTGGGCTATCATTAAGTGAGCATCTTTCTTCTACCACCCCTCCCACCATGATGCTTCTTCCATGCTATAGGCCTAAAGCAATGGAGTGGGCCAACCAGGGACTGACAACTCTTAAACCATGAGCCAAAATACACCTTGCCTCCTTTAAGTTGCTTCCCTTCCCCAGGTGTTTAACCACAGCAATGAAATGAAATACTAAACCATCATCCTTCATCTAACTCCCCGATTAACTGGCAATTCTGTGAAACAGATTAGAAATTCCACAGTGAGTTTCTAACATTTGAGTAGTTGCCCTGTCATTATTTTCTTTTTTTCCAGGCTTACTCTATATGTGTTTCTTCCTTCACTGAAATCAGCCCCCAAACTGCAGAGGCAGGCACATTATTAGCCAAACTTATGCCATGTCTGGAGAGCCCCAGCACAAGGGTAGGTAGAAAAGTTTCTTTGGAGTTATTATTTCCCAGTGACTTACGAAAGCATATTAGTGAATGATGTATTTATAAGTAAGATTATAATTAGCTATTCATTCCTTCTATGGAAAAATTAAGATAGTTATGATTTTATATAAAATTCATTACGCATTGATCTGGAGCTGGTGATATTCCCCAAATTAGAGCATCAGAACAATAACATCATATATTTTCTGTTTCCTTTATTCCCTTATAACCTCAGCAAAATTCACATTTATAAAATGTATACATCATACACACTATGAATATGACTTGTGATATGTTGGTTTTTTAGGAAATGCAGTGATCTAAAAAGAAGCCATTAGGTCCTCCTCCCATCTTCCTACACTCTCAATCCCTTGAACCTTCCTCTGGCTTACTAAAAATAATGTTTGTAGCAGTCAGAATTTTCTTGACATATTCAAAAGTGAGGTCCTGAAAAGCCTAAAGGAAAGCCAAGTGGTTAATTTGTCCTTCAGCAATAGTCCCTTGTCTGGCAAGGTCATCTTTTTGAAGTGAATGGCTTGGGAGAGATATAAAAGAACTGATGAGGGAAGAATGTATCGTTCCCAGCTGGCTTGATAAGATTAGTAGACCCTGATAGAGTCAATGCCCTCTCAGAAAGAATGTAGGATTTGTGAAGAAAGCAATTAGAACATTTTTAAATATCTATTTTCTCTTCCTAAAAGTAATCCATTTTGGTGATGCTATTTTCAAGTTATAGGAGGAAAAGGAAAGAAGGAAAGAGATTTGTAGAGATTGTCTTATATCTCACATTTTTTCATTCTTGTATTCCCCATATTGTTAAATGTTTCTCCAGTTTGAAGAAGGTTTGACATGTTAATGGACACTTACTCTTTCTTTTAAGTAGAAATGTTCACTGAATATTTTCTGATTGTATCTTCTAGTGAATTGTTTTCTCCTTTTAAAATTTCCTTTTGTATGATCACAGTGTGTGAACTCCTTGTATAGTAAAGGTTTTTTTTAAAAAAAGTAATGTTGTTATAAGAAATTTAATATATTTATAAATATGTAGAAATGTTTAGCTTTTTATCTGAGAAAAAAATCACACATAATTTTGGGAGATTCCAAAGGCTTACTTACCTTTTTCTTGCATACTAACTTAATGTAAAAAGGAAACATTTATTTTTAGGTCACATTACTCATTAAATTACAGATATATCAAAATGTTGTACATTGAAGTTTACAAATCAGCCAGAAGAAAATATATCCTGGAATGAATTTACTAAAATTAAAAATTAGAGGAAAACTTGAAGCACAGAAAGCTATATCATGAAAGACAAGGTTAAGAGATTAAATTACAAAAATATCTAAAACTATGTCTGTCACAAAGCTCTGTAAATTTAAAACAACTCATCCAGTATAAATGGATAACCTGAATAGATCCTTACTTTTCAAAAAAAAAAATGAATTTATAGTTAACCTACCAATAAATCTCCAGGTGCAGAGGCATCACTGTGGAATTCTACCTAGTAAGTATTTAAGAAAGGAATAACACCAATTCTACATAATCTCCTCCAGAAAATACAACAGGAGGGAACACTTTCTAACTAACTTTGTGAGGCTAGCATTACCCTCATACCACAACTGGGCAAAGACATTACAAGGAAAGGAAAAAACAAACAAAAAAAAGCATTATAGACTAATATTTTCAAGCATATAGAAAAATCCTTAATACAATATATAGCAATATATAGGAAAGAATAATATACCATGAACAAGTAAGGGGTTTTTTTTTGTGTGTGTTTGTTTTGTTTTGTTTTTTGTTTTTGCTTGCGAATGTCAGGCTGTTTTAGTATTCCAACTTCAGTCAATATCCTTTACTGTATTAACAGACCAAAGATGAAGAATCACACAATCCTTATCAATTAATGCAGAAAAAGCAGTAGATAAAATTTAACATCAATCCACGGTGGAAAGGAACTTCCTTAATCTGATAGAAGGCACATTGAGAATCTGACAGCTAACATTATACTTCATGGTAAATGATCCCTTAAGATCAACAGCAAAGCAAGGATGTATGTTTTTACAATTTCTTATTCAGAAATATTCACTAACTCAGTAAGACAAGAAAAAGAAATAAAAGAAATACAGCTTAGGAAGAAATAATGTGGTTTCTATCTACAGAAAACATGTAGAAAATACCAGGGAATTTTACAATTAAGAAGTGACATTAAATTGGGCCTATAAACTCAGCACTATGGGAGGATTATCCCCAGGAATCTAAACTAAGACTAAAAAGCATTAAAACCTCAGAAAATTATTTCCCATTTCTAGTCTGGCATGTAAGGGCCTTGGAGATCATCACATGTATTAACAGCAAGTAAAAAGCAAACTGGGAAATGAACCATTCTTCCTATTTCTGTCAGAAAAGTGAGATCATAGGGCAAAACAATAACCCCTGAATTGGTGGGGAATTGAAGAGAAATACAGAATGCCAAAATAGAAACCTGTCTCCACAGGACCACACCAAGGCAGGGGAACCTAAATCAGTGATGACAAAATGCTTGAAGGTCAGTGTGGCAAAATCTGATATCCAGTCTTAAAAGGGTCTCCATAGTTTTATGAATTTTACTTCTAGGAGCTTGACTAGATTCTCAAAGTAGATGTTAGAAAAAAAAGTACTTATGCTTCTGTCAGGGGAAGAGGAAAAGTAACCATTTCAAAATCTCTCCAGAACATTTTCTTCTTAAGTAACAAAGCCAGTTTTCCCTAAATTTTTGTTTTGTTTATTTGGTATTGGGGATCGAACTCAGGACCTTGTGCTTGTGAGGCAGGAGGCAGAACCGCTGAGCTAAATCCTCACCTTCCCTAAAAATATTTTAAAGAATAAAATTTTTAATAATTGAATTTTTCAGAGTTGACTGACTTGGAGAAGAGAAAATACCCAACTCCAGCTCCTTGTAGCATTTAGCACTAGAAAATGGAAATACCCACTCCAATCCACTATCCATCCTGTCTCCATTAAGGAAGGAGTAGAAGGGCCAGGAATTTAGCTCAGTGGTACCATGCCTACGTCACAAGCAGTTTGATCTCTGGTACCAGACAAAAGAAAAAGAGGAAGGGGTAAAATACTGATAATCATTTGTCAAGTTCACAGCCTAGAGATAATTTATAGGCTGACTAGACCAAGATAAAATTATAGGACTAGAGAGTATTCCCCTTCCCTCACACCCTGTACCACACTACTCAGTGCTTACTTGCACAATGAAACATGTCCAGCTTTCACGGAAAAATTTTTCATGGAAAAATTATAAGGCATACTAAAAGTCAAAAGACACCATTTGATGGGCTAGGGCTTTAGCTCAGCAGTTCTGCAAGCGCAAGGACCCGACTTTGAGTTTGATCCCTGGTACAAAAAAAAAAAGAAAGAAAGAAAAAGAAATGGCCAAATTATTTGGGCTGGGGATTTAGCTCAGTGGTTCCAGAGCCTGCCTCGCAAGCTCAAGGACCCAAGTTCGATCCCCAGTACCACAAAAAAAACCCAAAACAAAAAACTCTACCAAAAGAAACCATTTGAAGAAACATAAGAATCTGAACCAAACTCAAATATGGCAGAGATGGAATTATTATCAGACAAAAATTAAAATAACTATGACTAATATGTTAAAGATTCTAATGGATAAACAAAAACAAGTAGGCATTGTAAGTAGATTGAAATACTGAGACTCAAAAAGAAACATTAGAGATTAAAATCATTATAAAAAATGAAGAATGCCTTTTATTTAGAATATCTTGGGCTGGGGATTTAGCTCAGTAGTTCTGGTGCCTGCCTTGGAAGTGCAAGGACCCGAGTTTGATCCCTGGTACCATAAAAAAATTTTAAAAAATTAGAATATCTCAATAAAAACTTCAAAAACTGAAAGAGAGAAAAGAGATTGATAAAAAGAAAAATACTAAAACCTGTAGTACAACTACAGAAGAATATAGCATGCCTGAAATGTCAGTAACAGGAGAAGAGAAGAAAATAACAGAGGAGATATTTGATCTGATAATGATTAATAATTTCCTGAAGTTAAGGTCAGATCTCATACTGCAGATCAGAAAGTTCAGATAATAGTTCAACATTTGAAAATAATTTAATTCATTAGACTAACAGAATAAAGATGAAAAGTCACATGATCATATCACTAGATGCAGAAAGACCATTGGACAGAATCCCAGCACTCATGATGAAAACTCAGAAAACTAGGGATAGAACAGAATTCCCTCTACTAGATAAAGACAGTTGGTATGGCTTGAGTATGTCCCCTTGAAGTTCATATGTTGAAAGTTGATGCCCAGTGTGGCACTGAGTAAGGATTGCTGGGACCTGAAGAGATGAGCCCTAGTGGGAGGTTAAAGACTCCGTGGGAGGAAGTGCTGCCCTTGGAAGAAGTTAATGTAATATTTGAATGACCCTGGTAGTTTTTGCAAGAGGGTGATTATAAGACAGTAAGACTAGCTCTTACTGTTCTACTTTCTGGCTTCCTGTCTCACCATATGATCTCTCCTTCTTGCTCCCACCAGGATGGGAATGTAGCCAGGAGAGCCCTTACCAGAACCAGCACCATACTGTTTAGATTTTCAGCCTCCAAAAATAGAAGCTAAATAAACCGCTGTTTTTAAAAAGCATAAAGTACCTAGCTTTAAGTATTTTGTTATAGGAATGGAAAACAAACACATCTGTTTTTTAAAAACTACATCATTATTCTTAATGTTGAGAAAGTATAAGCTTTTCCATTGAGATCAGGAAAACTGCTTTTCAATATCATACTAGAAGTTCTAGCTAATGCTATAAAATAAGGAAATCAAAGGTGTACTTTACTGTTTCAGGAGGGAAGAAATAAAACTTATTTGTTTGTAGATATACTATAACTAGAAAATCTGATAGAATCAACAAAGACAACAGAAAATCTCCTGGAGCTAATAAATGATTATAGGAAGTATGCAGGATATTAGATTAATATACAAAAGTCAATTTCTGTCCTATACACTGGTAATGAAAAAGTATAATATGAAATTAAAAATTCCATGTACACTAGCACTCAAAGAAATAAAATATATGAATCTACTAAAATGTGCACAAAATATCTATAAGAAAAACTACAAAATATGATATCAAAGCATTTAACAGATCATGTTTGTGGATAAGAAGACTCAATATTGCTAAGATGTCAGTTCTTCTCAACTTAATCTACAGATTCAACCCAATACTGTACCAACAAGTTATTTTTTGGACACAGGAAACTTACTGTAAAGTTTATATGAGAGGAAAAAATGTGTGGAATAATCAACATAACATTGAAGGAGAAGAAAAAAGTTGGAGGACTGATATCACATCACTTCAAGCCTTACTAGAAAGCCATAATAATCCAGAAATGTGGTGTTTCATCTGTAATAATTATATATGTAAAATACTTTTAAACATAACATTCTTTCAGAGAGAGGGACAGAGAGAAGAAGAGAACCTCAGACAATAATGATCTGTATCAGAGTTTTAGCTAAAATCTATAGCCTTGCAGTGCACCTGGAATTTATTTTGGTTTGTAAAAACGATAAAATTATTCATACAGAGGCCTTCTTTTTCTACTTAATAGCTATGAATTTCATCCTGAGAACATCATCTGATGCTATCAGATCATATGGTGGACATTTCAATGGTCCATAAGAGACCTGAGATGAGAGCAGGAATTAACTTTAATATAAAAATGTCATTTGAGCCAAAGAGGGTATTAGACAATTGTGAAGGCTATCAGCTTGCCTTAAATAATTTTTTTTCAGATGCTGTTGAGGTATATTTTGTAAAAAGTATCAATGCATTTCAAGCAACACTGGGCACAAAGAATTGTGCAACATTGACCACCATTGAAGAATTTTGCAAATGGCTTGCCCAAATTGGAAAAAAAACAGGTAAATATGTCTAATTCATAGACATAATCCCTAGTTTGTTTATTAGACCTGGGCAACCTTTTTTCAGATCACAATTCATAAACTGGACCTGAGACAAATCCCAGGTAAAACAAGAAATAACACACAGGGCTGGTGATGGGTGGGATTTTTATAAAAAAAGCATTTTTCTTTGGTCTTTGTACATGAAATCCTTTATATCCAAGACATAGATAAACTCTAACTTATTCATTTCATAGCTTAAATAAAAATTGGCTTCCACCTTTTAGATCTAGCTAGTTTTTTTCTTTCATAATGGTGTTCCCCTCTGACATTCTTCTCTTATTAGGCACAATTTTGTTTTCACATTAAAAAAATTATAGAACTACAAAAAAGGTACTATTATAAACACAGAAGTACCCTGCTCACAAACTTAATTCTTTCCATGATTCTGGCCACAAACTGAATTGGATAAGAACCAAGTCAAATTTCTACATAAGGTCAACATTGAATTTAATCACTGAATTTGATTCAGGTCTTATTCCAATTTAGTTTGTTCATGAATGGAGGTATCACTACATTAACATATAAAAATCTATCAATGTAAAACACTAATTTAACAAAGGATAAAAATAATAAGATCTTAAAAATGCAAAAACTTGGACAAAATTCTGTACCTTTCAGGATTAAAAACAGTGAAGAGGGGCCAGGGATTTAGCTCAGTGGTTCTGCAGCCTGCCTCACAAGCAGAAGGACCAGAGTTTGATTCCCAGTACAAAAAAAAAAAAAAAAAAAAAAAAAAAAAAAAAAAAAAAAAAAAAAAAAAAAAAAAAAAAAAAAAAAAAAAAAAAAAAAAAAAAAAAAAAAAAAAAAAAAAAAAAAAAAAAAAAAAAAAAAAAAAAAAAAAAAAAACAGTGAAGAGCCTAGGAATAAAAGGAAATTAACTCAGCATGATAAAAGGCAGTATATCAAACACTCATAGTTGATCCCATATTCACTGTTGAAAAACTGAAAGCCCTTTCTTTTAGATTAATAGCATGCCAAAGATGACTACTTTCACTACTTCAACACTATATTGGAAGTACTAGCCAAAGCAATTTGGCAAGAAAAAAAAAGCATCCAAATAGAAAGGAAGAAGTAGAATTATCTGTTTGCAAAATGATACAGTGTTATGTAAAAAACCTAATTCTACACATGTTTATTAGATAAATTCATCCATTTAATAGACTAAATATACAAAAGTCACTTGCATTTCTGGGTGCTAAATAATGAATAATTTGAAAAAGAAAGAAGACAATACCATTCACAATAGCATCAGAAAGAGTAAAAATAGAAATAAATTTATCTAAGGAGGCAAAAGACTTGTATACTGAAAAGATAAACAGGGAAATAATCTAATTATATGCAAGTTTTCCTCCTCTAAAAAATGCAAAGATATTATAGAGCCTTGAGATTCCCGAATTTTTAGTAATGTTTCCTGGAAAGCAGCAATGGACATCCTTTTTGTATTTATTATTAAATGTGGTATGTAAAGGATGATGATTACATGTTCAAATTCATTTTGAAGAAATGTTTTGTTAGTGCATGACCATATAGACAATATGTGCAATGTAATTAATGTGTAGTTCTCAAGAAGTACCAATAACTAAATCTTTTCACTCTCTCAAAATAATTTCTTTCCTTCTTTCTTCCTTTCTTTTTCTTTCTTTGTTTCTTTCTTTTTCTTCCTTCCTTCCTTCCTTCCTTCCTTCCTTCCTTCCTTCCTTCCTTCCTTCCTTCCTTTAGCACTGGACTAAAAGACAACTGGCCTTACTTTTTAACAAAGTCATTATTACAAAAGAGAAAGTGAGGCCAGGCATAGTGGCACATGTAAATAATCCCAGCCTTCAGGAGGCTGAGGCAGGAGGATTGCTATTAGATCAAGGCTAACCTGGGCTACACAGCAAGAACCTGTATTAAAAAAAAACCCAAAAATAATGCAACTAAAAGAGAAGGTGCAGGAGAATTGTTACAGATAAAATAAGACTTAAAAATATAAAAACTAAGTGTAATGTATGTTTTGATTAAATACTAGATTTTTTTTAATTATAAAGAAAATTATTTGGCCAAATGAAAATTTTACATATGGCATATATGTTAGGTTAATAGTATTGTATCCATGTAAAATTGATTTTTAAATTTATCTTTTTTTATGGTGCTGGAGATTGAACTGAGAGCTGTGTGCATGCTAGGCAAGTGTTCTGCTGCTGAGCTACATCCCAAGCCCATAAAACAGATTTCTAATGAATCTTTTATTTTAGTGGTGCTAAGAGTCAAACCAAGGGCCTTGTGTATGCTAGGAAAGCAGCCTACCACTGAGCTACATCCCCAGCTCATTGATGTAAAATTTATTAAGTGATACTATTATTGTAGTTATACAGTATAAAGAATTTTCTTGTTCTAAAAAGACATGTTCTTAAGTACTAAAGTATCTTGATGACTACAACTTATTTTCAACAAAGTTTATAAAGCTTATATGTATATATGCATTCATCTTTATGTGTGTATATTTTGTTTCTTTCTTTCTTTCTTTCTTTCTTTCTTTCTTTCTTTCTTTCTTTTTGGAACCAGGGATCAAACTCAGGACCTTCTGCTTTCGAGGCAGGCAGCATAACTGAGCTAAATCCCAAGCCCTATATATGTATATTTTCTTAAAGAGAAAACCAAATAAATATGGAGAAATTATAGCCATTTGTGAATCTAGGTGAAAGTTTCATATTCATTCTACTATTCCAGTTTTTCTGAGGATTTAAATAAATAATTAAGGTTAAATAAAAGACCAAGAACTATGGAATTCAGAATTCTGGTGTTGAATCTTGACACTGTCATCTGTAGGTTGTATGATCTTGGACAAGATCCCTAGCTTTAATTTGTCCTTAATCCTTCATCTGAAAAATAAGTATAATGATTCCTATCTCATAAAATAGCCAAGAAAATTAAATAATAATAAAATACATATGCATTAACTTATTAATTATTAGCTTATAACTTTAACTCTTAATAGAAACACATTAACTTAGGTGCTACATCATAACTGACTTCCGTCAGTTGTGTCATAGAACGCCTCCTCCATGGACATAAAACTTGCATGTTCCTTCAGAATTTCCAAGTTGATTTAAAAAATTTTTAAATCCCCTAGGAGGCTTACAGATGGAAAAAGGCTTCCCTGAAGTCCCAGGTCATCAGCTATGGTGACTGTAGTGAAAAAGTAGCTGAAACTTTTTATAACACGGGCAGGATCTGCTTTGCCAAAGGAGAATTCAGAAAGGCAATTCACCTGCTAAGGAAGATGAGCTGAGAAAGGAAAATTCTGACTGGTTTTGTTACATTTTCTCCTGGAGTTATTGGCAAAATGTAAGACATTATGTATGTATAGAACCTTTCCCTGCCCCTTCTCTTCCTTTCTTTCCCCCTCTTTCTTTTCTTCCCTCCCTCCCTCCTTCCTCCTCCCTATCCCTTCTCTTTCTAAGAGGTACCGCCAGTCAGGATATTGATACTGAAGACTTCGTAAAATAGGTACAAATGTTTCTACATAAAACCTAAATTTTCTCAAACCCAGAGGAAAAATCAGTAAAGATGCTTAAGTGAGCAGAGAACAAAGTCAGAAACAATCCACAGAAGTACACTGGCAAATGTCAGGTCCAGGCAGATTTTTCCTCATTTTTGGTTAACTTTATGTAAACATAAAATGGTAAATAAGAGGAGAAAGGGGACCTTATTTTGAAGATCCAGAGGAAAATAAACTCTTTTTGAAGATAAATTCTCGGAACCAGAATAGCTTCTTTAAGAAAAGCGTGAACACATGGGTGGCAACTGATGGGGGCCGAAAGTTAGGAGAAAACTTTAAAATGCAAGGATGACAACTTTGAGGCCAAAAAGTGAGAGGAAACATTTTAAAAGTGAAGGAGAGGGTTCTGGTGAAGCAACACATCTAATAAAATTCAAGTTCACATAAAAAATAATGGAGCGAACAGAGTCTGAAAGTGTTGATGTTGAGCTGTGTTGCTCAATTCTAAGACTGAAAGTCAGTGAAAGAACGGACTTCTCTCCCAGAATGAAAGAAAGGGAGAGAGGGCATCGACTTCAGATGCTGAAAGGAAACCCATTTGGCAGACGGAATATATCATAAAGGATTTCTAGTGATACTTACATCTGACCTTTTCTCCTGGACAGTTCAGGCTTTATTTTATATAAAAGAAATCCAATTTAAATGTTGCAGGGTGGGAGTGAGAAGGTTTAGAAAAGGCATTTAAGTTATAATCTTGTGATGGGACAAGATTAATTGACGTACAATACACTACATGTATCTGATGTGTACTATTTACATCTCATACACCTGTGAATTCTTTACTAAATCAAGATGATGAATTTAACAGCCACCTACAAAAGTTTCCGCGTGCCCCTTTGTAATTCTTTATCTCCCCACCAACACTACCCTCTGGCAACAACTGTTCTTTTCTCGCTGTAGATATACTTATATTTTCCAGGAATTTTATGTAAAAAATGAAAGCTTTTGCAGTTTACACTTTTTTTTTTTTTTTTGGTAGTAGCGGGGGGTGTCCTGGGAATCAAACTCAGGGACTCGCACTTGCCAGGGAGAAGCTGCTCTGCTGAGCTACATTCCTGGCCTACAGTTTACACTTTTATATGGTTCTTTCACTCAGCGGAGATATTTTCAGATTCATCCAGGTTGTTTTGTATAGCATCTATGTTGTTTTCTTTGCATCCTCGACAAAAATTGGTGTGTGTGTGTGTGTGTGTGTGTGTGTGTGTATGTACATGCGCTTACATGTGTATTTCCGAGTCTTCTGTTTCATTGATCTATTTTCATGCTAATACATGCTATCTTGATTGCTATAGATTTAAAACTTGAAATTGGGTTATTTTCTACTTCTTTTTTCTTGGTATCTGGGATCGAACCCAAGGCCTCGTGCATGATAGGCAGCTATTGTACCATTGAGTTACAGTCCCAGCACTGTCAGTGTTGCTGACCATATTCTGGAGTCTTTGCATTTCCAGAGGAATTTTGGAATCTCTGTATTCATTTTTTAAATAACACCTCCTAGGATTTTGACTGAAATTGCATAGAATGCATAGATAACATTTTGGAGAATTGATATTTTTAAAATATTTATTCATCTCACCCAGGAACATGTTGTGCCACTCCATTTATGTAATTTTAATGCTTCTCTCAGTAACGTTTTACTGTTCTTAATGTACAGGTCTTATGCATCTTTCTTCAGATTTAAGTTGTTTGTATTTTGATGTTATTTTAAATCTACCAATTTTGAATTTCATTTTCTGTTTGCTTGTTGTTGGAATATAAAAATAAAATTGATTTTTTGTATAATGACCTTATATTTCATAACTTTGCTAACCTCATTATTCTAGTAGCTGTTTTGTAGATTTTCCACATAGATGATTGGGTGCTCATCTCATCTGCACTTCTATATTTTATATTCTGATCCAACTTAGATCATTGTTATGTCTTTTTTTTCTTTTCTTCTCTATTAATCTCATCCAGGATATTTTTTCCTATCAGACATTGTAATTTTTACCTTCAGAATTTTGACTTGAGGATATACATATGTTTACACACACACACACACACTTTATAGATATATATACATACATATATATATATGTATATATATCCTGTTTATCTTTTTAACACATGGAATTGTTACAATACTAGTTTTAATGTACTTCTTCACTACTTCTAATACCTGTGTCAGTTCTGAATTGGATTGATTAGTTTTTTTCTCACTAATCTATTCATTTGAATGCCTACTAATCTGTTTTGATGCCCAACATTGTGTATTTTATCTTGTCAGGTGTTGGATATTTTTGTTTTCTTATAAACATCCTCAAATTTCATTTTCCAGAACAAAGTTGATGCCAGTTAAATTACTTGAAAACTTGGACCCTTAGTGTTTTGCTTTTAAGGTTTTTTAGATGAGACTAGACACCATTTAGAAAATGGCTAGTTATCCTCTATTCCTGAGATACGAGCCTTTTGAGTATCTCATCCAAAGATCCATGAACAAGGACACTTTCCAGCTTGGCTTGTGGGAACAGGCACCAACATATCCCTGTTTCCTTCAGTCTTTCAGAAGCTTCTTTCCCCAGATTTGGGCAGTTTCCTTTCATGCATGTGTCAATCAGTTCTCTGCTGAGAGGAACCATTGTGGAGATCCATGGTTCTTTTTCTGTGAAGCTATATTCTGCTTAAGACTCTGTCTTCAGAGTTTCCTGGAACTCTCAGCTTTATGAGGGAGTCTGGTGAGCTCCATTTATTCATGCTAACCTGTGTTATGATCCAGAATACCCAAAGCAGTCATCTGAGCAATCACAGGGTTTACCTCATTTGCATTCCCTCTCTCAGGGATCGTGCTCTTTTGTTGTTTGATGTCCAGTGTCTTGAAAATTGTTTCATGCATTCTTTCTGTTTTCCTTTTCTTTATTTCTTTTTGGTTGTTTCAGGTGGATGGTGAATCTGATTCTTACTGTCTCCTCTTGGCTGGAAGCAAAGTTTAGCAATAAAGTTTAAAAAGGAAAACTGCCTGAGTACAGTAATGCAGCATGAGAATACAAGGCAGCTTTGGGATAAGTGTCATTTATCTGTATCCATTTAGTTACAGCTATTTGGGAAATTCTGGTGGGAACTAGTTCAGCCCTGTTTTAAGGAGTGGGGCCCTGTTACCCTGGTTATCTGCAGCCATGATTGGCAATGGCGAGTTCAGTAAAGTGGAGTGTGCGTACAGCATAAGGGATGAAGGAGGTGACTAAAGAACCTTCAATGCAGATTCCTTTTTCTCCTTGGTGGGGAACTAGGGATATTACTACAGGCATTCCAAATGTCAACTTGGGATATCCCAGTTCTTCTCTTTAATTTGGTTTGCAATCAAAAACTTTGCTATCAGAGTCTCTTTAACCTGTTGTTTCTCATTTACCCACAGTGCCTGATGATTCAAATACTTATATATGGAAGTGATCATAGTAAAAGCAGAGAGACAAAAAGCCTTCTTACCCTAATACAGAGGTGAGTTCTGGCACTGGCCATCAACCAGATGAGCAATGTGAATATATGCATAGCATTCTTTCTCTCTCTGATTCAACCAGTAGGGCTATTCAGTCTTGTCATTGTTACTAATAAGGCAGAATTCTATCTGTGTAAGGGATTTAGCCAGTGGATAGGCAAGTGATTCTATATAGTACCTTAGAACTCATATTATAGGAGTCAGCTGCAGTGATAGTTATTATTTATAATATCCCTTTCATTGCTGAACATTATAGCCAAATCCTGTAAGATAAAGTCTTTGATGACACAGTGTGATAGGTATGAAATGGATTTATACAAAATCAATGAGTACACTCAATTATTATAGGCCAGTAGGATCATATGCTATGTGTCTGGGAATTTGGTGGAGAATCTGAATCTTTGAACATATTTAAAATACATTTTATGGAAAAGATGGAAATAAAGTGTTTGTAGATGGGGAGGGGAGGAGGGGGTGAAGGGAGGGCAGGGGTAAAGGGAAAAAATGAGAATCAAGACTTGTCATGTAGAGGTACAAGACCCCAACAATGAATGTAACTGTACTGTATCCCTAAAATGTACCAATAAACTCAATTAAAGCTGAAAAAAAATACATTTTATGTTTTGAAGGTAATAACTATGAAACTAAAAGAACAAACATGTAATTTCAGAGATGAAATGCATGATGTTTCCTCAAAAGCTTTTACTCAGCTTGGATTTAAAAACAGAACCAGGCACAGTGGCACATGACTATAGTCCCAGATACTTGGGAGGCTAAGGTGGAAGATTGCTTAAGCCAGGAGTTCTGAGCTAGCCTGGGAAATTTAAGGATTTAAGCCCTTAAAAACATAGAGAAATTTTAGGAAAGCAAGACTAAATCTGTTTTCTCAGTAGCCTGACGTTGATTTTCCTTTCAGTTTTATTGTTCCTCATCCATAATTTGACAGGAGTCACAAAAGCGAGAAGAAATTCGGAAACACTGGTGTAACTTAATTCAGATTCTGGTAGCATGAGTTTCTTTAGGTGCTTAAAGCCTAATCATCCTCTCTGTTAATGACAACTGGACCCAGACCTACCAAGAAAGTCCATATGAAGGGACAGAAACCTTTTGAAGGACTCTGCTATAGCAGAGCCAATAAAGGTTTGCCTTTCCCTGAAACAAGCCTATATCTCATTCCTCAAGAACTGCTGAGCAAAGCCATAGGAGTAGCAGCCAAGGCCCAGATGTCAAAGTGCGGAGTAAGAACTGTCTTTGCTTTGGCATCTTACTGCAATGATCAATCCCAGATGTCCTGGAACTCTGCAGCTTTCCAATGTGCTGTAGTGTGCCTTTTACTCCACCTCCTCTAGAAATTCAGTGACAACACTTGCTATACTTTCATTGCCAGGAGTTTGAATTCTTGGCTTTTCAAGCCTCTGCAAATTACTTAACACAGAACTGGCCCTTTGAAATAGGAGTTAATTCTAAGGTTAAATGATAGCTACAAGGACCTCAAAGAAGATTTCAGTGCATAGAAAAGATGTAGAAAATCTCAGCTTTGGGATGAAACTTTGTTTAGTCTAATTTTTACGTACCTTACAAATGTACTTCAGTTTAGTCATTTGTATATCACGCTGTTCCTTCTAAGAAGGATAGGTGCTAATACATTTGAGATATAGTGCTTCCTGGGGAAATTGAGATACATGGCCAAATTACAAATTACTCTGTAGTAAATCTTTAACAAAAATATAAACAAAAAAAGGACAAAGAATAAATCTTGGAGCTAGAAGTACGACTATATTGGTTTCAGGTAGGGTTCAGGGTCTGCAAACAATAAAAAACATAATGTCATAGAGATGCTTGACTTTTCTGAAGAAAGCACGCAGCCTTTAGTAGTTGTAGTTTCTTTTTCTTTTGGGTCTGGCTATGTAGTTCAGGCTAGCCTTGAACTCAGTCTGTATCTCAGGCCAACCTCAAGATCACAATGGTCCTCCTATCTCAGGCTTTCAAGTGCTGGGATTTTAGCTGTGCCCTACCACAGACCGAAAGTGGGTTAGAAACAAGCTGCAGATGAACCTGGAAAGAAAGATTTGAGCCAGGCATGGTGGTGCACACCTGTAATCCCAGCACTCAGGAGGCTGAGGCAGGAGGATCGCTATGAGTTTGAGACCAGCCTGGGCTACATAGTGAGTTCCAGGTCAGTCTCAACTACATAGTGAGACCCTGTCTCAAAAAACAAACAAACAAACAAACAAAAAAGTCTGGGGCCAGGTTATGGAACTATTGTGTGCTTTGCTAAAGAAAACAGAACTTACTTGACAGAGAGCGGCAACTATCAGAGTTTTGAACAGAATATGACAAGATCACTTTTAATTTTTGAACATTAACTCTGAGAGCAATGGAAAGGATAGATGGATCTAGGGAGTAACAGAAAGACCAATCAGAAGGCAGATCCAATAGTCCAGAGCTGCTGAGACCCTTAATTACTAAAGCCATGGTAAAGGGAATGTAAAGAGAATGGGATGAGAAACAATTTAGACTGTTTTGACAGACCTTGGAACTGATCAGATGTGAGTGTAATGGAAGCAAGAATCAAAGGTGGCTTTGAAATTCTAGTTTGGCAGCTGGGTAAATGGAAATGCTATTCAATAAAATAGTATTGGTGAGAGGAGATCAACTTGAACAGATAGGGGGACTGAGGAAGATATTGACTTCCATCCTGGTATGTTACGTTTGAGGTACCCACAATACACCCATTTGGCAATGTCTAGTAAGCTGTTGGCTGAAAGGACTAGGAACTCAAGAAGTTCTGTTCTGCAACCAATGGAACAGATAAGATAACCTCTGGAATATGTATATGTGAAACAAGAAGGCTTAGGAAAGAGCTTTAGAGAAGATTTTTTACTTAATTTGGAGAATGTGATGGTTGATAGCAGAGCACTAAGGCTCAAATTTGAGCTTTCCCATTTACAGTGGGAAAGTCTTATTTTCATCTATAAAAGACAAATGATAAGAACACTCAATTTTAAGGGCTTAATGTATGGTAGGCACATAGTTTTTGTGAAATGTTAATTATTTTTGGTATTATTATTTAATTGTTTAGAAGAACTGAGACAGACTGATAAAGAGTCCTCTGAGAAGGGCCAAAGATTTAGTTCAGTGGCACTGCACCTGCCTTGTAAGCTCAAGGTCTTGAGTTCAATCCCCACTACCCACCCCCCTAAAAAAGGGAAAGAAAGAGTCCTTAGAGAACAAGTAGTTAGGAAAGAACAGCTAGGAAGTCAAAGAAGAATATTTCAAGGAAGGAGTAGAAGATATAATTGTCACAAAGGCATAAAGACAGTTCAAAGAAGAATAAGCACAGGGGAGGGGTTGAAGGGGAGGGTAGGGGGATAGGAAAAATTGAAGAACCAAGACTGATTATGAAAAGGTACAAATTTCCAACAATAAATGCCATTATATTGTATACATTAAATATACCAATAAAATTAATTTTAAAAAGAATAAGCACAAATTGCTAGTAAACACAAAAATGTTTTCAATTTCATACAGAATTAAACATTCCAAACATGAATCTCCATTTTTAACTTATCACATTTGTGCTTATAAAAAATATGGGTCATACAAACCCACTTCTGTGCAACACACTGTATTAACCACAGAGGTACAAAAGCATCAGGACAGCAGCCAGCCTTTTGTGTAGTCTATTTGTGGGACTGATTCTTGATACCACCATGTTAGTGGGCATTTTGAGAAAAGGTGATAGAAGGTTTGCATGTATGTCCTGTGACTCAAAATACTGTTCCAAATCTATCTTTGGAAATTCTTTTCTTCTAGCACAGACAAAGTTAATTTATGTGGCTTATTTACAAATGGGTCATGGGCACATTCCTTCCCAATGTGAGGGTCTTTTGTGGTTAGGAAGTAATGATCAAACTCTTTTCAAAGCTGAGATAGATGATTGTACACCAGCAGGGAGAAAGAAGGTCCTGGCTCAATCTCTTTCAAAATCTGCTAATGTTTGAAACATGTCAAAAAAACCCCAGTGTTTATTCATTGCTTCCATAATTCCAGTTTGGCTTTGAATGCATCCACTTGATATCTGCTGACTTGAACACAGTTACTGTTATTCTCTGTAGTGGCAGGTTAAATTAAGCAGGTTCACTAAGCAGGTTAAATATGTCACACGAATAAGCAAAATTTGCAGCCCATTCGGTGTCACTAAAATGTGTTGTCAGTGGTGATGTTTTTCTAAAAGAAATTTGTGGAGGGGTTCTAATAACTCAAAAACTCTGGCCAGATCTACCTGTAGAAGGCCATCTTCTGTGTATAAGAGAAGACATATGTGCTCTGTATCCATGTCCTTACAAAGCTGCTCAGATATGAGTTAAGGGCATGTAATTAATGTGAGTGATAATTTTAATCATATCCTGCAAAATGTTGTTATATTTAGGTGACATATGTCAGGTAGGCAACATTTCCCTGTGGATAACACAGTATGTAGACTCACATTAATAGCAATCTCTTTAACCCACATAGTGACTCTATACAGATTCATGGTATCTGTATAGTCTGCACCTATACAGACACAAAATGACCAATTGAGTTTTTCTGATATGTGATCATTCAGACTTGAATAGTTCTGCAGTTGTGGTGGTGGTTGGCAAAAAATACGCATGACATATCTACATGCACAATCCCCTAAAAAATATATGACATAATTAATAATGTGAAATAGGAAGTAAAGGGCTAAAGATGTAGGGAAAGTGGGAAGGGTGGGGGAAAAGGTAATAATAAGGGAGAGGAAAAAAATATGAGAAACTGAAAAAATGGAAATAAAGTGTTTGTAAATGGGGAGGGGAGGAGGGGGTGAAGGGAGGGCAGGGACAAGGGGAAAAAATGAGAATCAAGACCTATTATGTAAAGGTACAGAATTCCAATGATGAATTTAATTGTATTGTATACCTAGATTGTACCAATAAACTCAATAAAAAGAAAAACAACAACAACAACAACAAAAAAAACAAGCATGTTACCTTCTTTTCAATATTAGCAGATTCTTCAAGCTAGATTGAATACCATGGTGATTCAGTTAATCCCTTATAAAAATTGTACCTCATTATCCTCGGCTACTTCATCAATTCATTGAATTATGGTGCTAGCCAAAGAGGAACACATGCCACCCTTTGAACTGGAACCTCTCCTAAAAGTTCATGACAAATATCCTTAGCAGCAGACAGACTAAATTCTACCAGTACTAAAGGACTTCTTAGCTATAGCAGTGCAGTTAGCCACTAATAATGATGCTCTCAGGCCAGACACATTTGATGAAATGGTGGCCTTCAGTAACTGCTTCAGTTCTTGTTCACTTTTTTATTTCTTTTGAAAAACTCTAAAGTCTTGTCTCTAACGTATAGTGCTTGGTCTCTATGTGGCAAAGCAGTTTTGAATTTTTCATGCCTTTATTGGATAGTCAGTCAGTTGCCACACATTATACAAAATAGGCTTGGAGAATGTGAATCTTCTGTTGCAACGAACCCCTACTTTAAGTAGGACTCTTGATATTTTATTTTAAATGCAATTTTCTTTTTGTTGGTAGTCTCAGAATCTTCTGTCTCAACTTTGGGCCTTTCTAATTTTTCAAAGAAACTCTCCAGTGACATTTTTTTTACTCACTTTGGCTGATGTAATCTTTTTTTTTTTTTTTTTTTTTTTTTTTTTTTTATTTTTTTTTTTTTTTTTTTTTTTGGTACCAGGAATTGAACTCGGGTCCTTGCGCTTGTGAGGCAGGCAGCGGCACCACTGAGCTAAATCCCCAGCTTGGCTAATGTAATCTTGTGGGCTTAATAAAAGTTGTGGCTGACCTGGGGATATAGTTCAGTGTTTCCACCACCTGCCTTTTAAGTGCAAAGTCCCAAGTTCAATCCCTGATACAAAAACAAAAACAAACAAAATTTGTGACTGAGACAATTGTGCAGTGTAGAAAAGAAGCACAGATGGAAGTGGTAAATAAAACAATAGGTAGATTGTGTGGACTGAAACAAATGTCAGATTCTGACTTAAAGCCTGCTACCAGGTGCAGAAGTACAATTGATGTGCTTTCCACATCAACTTACTTGCTACTGTAAGGCTGGCCACCAAATGTAGCTTCATTGTTGCTTGTTACTCACTGATGGGTGTTGATATAAGCCTGCAAGCAATTGATTTATTATAGCCTCTGTATAGTCAAACCTCTCAGCTAATGTTCATCTGTAGTTGCAGCCATTCCCCAATGCTAGCTTCACCGCCTCAGCTTCTGTTCAGATCATCAGGCCTCGTATTCTCATTAGGAGTGTACAACCTAGACCTTTTGCATGTGCAGTTCAGAGTGGAGTTTGCACACCTATGAGAATCTAATGCCATTGCTGATCTGAGAGGAGGCAGTAGGGCTGAGGGTGTAATGTGCACAATGGGGAGCAGCTGTAAACACAGATGAAGTTTCACTTGTTCTCCCGTCATTCAATTTCTCTTGCACAGACCAGTTCCTAACAGGCCACCGACTGATACCTGTGTTTAAATCTAGGCCCTATCACTTTCTGTGTGCTACTGAGCAAGTGTCCATAAGAGTCACTTTTCTTCAATGAAGATTGAAATAGTATTTATAAAATGAAAATAGGAGACAGAGTAAATGAGATTTTTCACATAAAGCACTTAGCACCCAGTATCTGATATATAGTAAGTGCTCAATAAATATTAACTATTTATACAGTTCCACCTTTTTATCTAGACATACTGAAAGTTAGAAAGCATGGATCTTTAACTTTGTGTTTGTCTCTGCACTTGTTTCTGGGATAGCTGCATAGTGAAAATTTATTTTTATGTAATGTTTGATGGGTTTTATGCTATAGAAGTCAATGCAAGGAACAACGAACATCATCTTTGTCTCTTTACAAGAAGGAAAAGAAGGAAGTGCCTCAATGTCCATTGACCTGTTAGTGTTCTACTGTTCTCTTAGTCATGTAAACAAAATGCAGCAGCCTCCATTTCAGCTGAGGGGATGGAGAAGAAAAGTCAGTGTAAGTGGGACTTAGAGTGATTGTATCCAAGGAAAAATGCATCAAGGAAAAGCAAAATAGGGACATGTTGAGTAAGGTTTGCATCAGACTTCATGTGGGTCTTATCTGTCTTGGGTAAGAACCTTAGTAGTGAGATTTATGCTCTATAAACTGGTTTCCATGCTGCAACCTTCATATTCCTTTTCTTTTTTACCATTTATGAATGACTATTCCAACACTACCTCTAAGAAATTAGAGGAAATATTTGGCCAAGTCTTGGTACGAATGAGTGAGGCTCATCATCTACTCCAGCACCCAAGTGCTAATGGCCACCAGATTTTCCAGTTAAGGATTTCAGGACTAGATGGAGGCAGTGGTACAGATGAAGTGGAAACTAAAGAGCGTGTGCTGTTGTAGGGTCTTCCTTACGGGGACCGGGGACTTCCACTGAGATCCAGCTGAAGGTGCCTTGTCTTTAGCAGAGCAGTGGGAAAGTGCTTCCATCAATGGCTACTCTGCTACATCCACAAAAATGGACTGACACGAGGAGTCTAGCATGGAGTTGGGCAATACACTTCACACATATACTTCATCTCACAGACTCATTCTGTTGCTGGTTTCTTAGAGGGACGCTTGATGTTCCAGAGAAAACCTTTAGGTTTGTTAGAGCTTAATTTATTAGTGCTGCCTGCCATGGGTTCTGGATGGCAGAATAGCTAAATTTGTACCACATATTTGCTATTCAGTAGAGAACAGAGCATTGTTATTTTGAATCAAGTCACCTGCTGTATAATCCCAACTCTGGTACGAAATAGCTAAAGGTCACTTAAACATTCTTCCTCATCTTCAGTCCTTCAGCTGACATCTGGGACACACCTACTACCAGGCGTAGTTAGAGCTGCAGATGGTAACAAAGATAAATAAAATATGGTCATTAATCTTAACAGGTCAGAACTCGAGAGACAAACATGGAGAAACAATGAAATCATGAAGCGTAAGTTCTGGACTAGAAGTCTCAGTGCAAAGAGCAGAAAAGAGAACCCATGGGAGCTGGGAGACTTCATAGGGAGAGTGACGTTTGAGCCTTTCCTTAACAGGGCAAGTAAGAGTGCATCAAGATGGAGCAGAGAAGCCATTCCAGGAAGAAGGAACTCCGCTTGCAAAGGCACAGAGGCATGACAGAGGGGCACATGTGGAAGGAATGGTAAGTACTTATGGCTCTTGTAGAAGGAAGCATCTCCTAAAGATTGAGAGAATGCTGATTTCAAGAGATGTGCCCTGGTTAGCTGGAAGAGAGAAAAGCCCTGTGGAAAAATGAGTTTGGGAAAAATACATATTGATTTAAAGTGATAGGAGTTACTTTCCTGAAAGATTCCTTAGAACTTTGAATATACTAAGCTTTCCTTTTGGTATGCTGAAGGACACACTTGAACAAGCGGCATAGGAATGTCCTACTTAAGGACATAAAGTCTTTGAACAACTCTTACTTCATGAGCTATTTTATCTCATAACAGGAACATGACCTCAACATGTATTTAAGAAATATTTTTTTCCTCTGTGATTCATGGTGGTGAAGAGCTGTAATAATGAAAACAGAAAAGCTTGTGTTCAAGCCCCAGAACTCACTGGACATGGTGGCTCACGCCTATAATCCCAGCACTTGGGAGGCTGAGGTAGGAGGATCGCTGTGAGTTCGAGACCAGCCAGGGCTACATAGTGAGTTCCAGGTCAGTCTCAACTACATAGTGAGACCCTGTCTCAAAAAACAGAACAACAACAAGAAAACAAAAACGAAAACAAACAAACCCCAGAACTCTTTCTTGTGTCTTGAAATTTTGGTTTCCTCAGCTATAAAGTGGGGATGAATAGAGTATTATTGGTCTTAGCATTGCTGTGAGAATAGACATTTTTATGTAGAAGTGCTCAGAAGAGTGCTTGGCCCTACAGTGATCTGTACTAAATAATACCTATTATTTTGCTGAAATTTAGACTTTGTTACTTTCTGCTTGTTTTTTTAATTTAAAACATTTTATTGGTACATTTTAGATAAACATAATGGTAACATTCATCATAATTTGTACCTGCACGTGATATGTCTTGCTTTTTTCCCATTCCCCTCCACTCCCTTCAAAGCTTACAATAGCTTTGTTTCCACTCCCCCTCCCCTCTCTCTCTCCTTTTTCACCTCTTTCTGTCCACGCTATTGTTTCATGAAGCAAATGGAGATAGATTACTTTGAAAAGGTACCATGAAGCGGTTTTGTTGGTTAATATCTCAAATGAGATCTAGAGTTTATCAATCCCTAGAAACATAGATGATATAAGATAGTCTGACACCATTATTTAAGCACAAAGAAGATATACGCTCTGGAAATCAATTGCTGATGGAAGATTTTAGGCAAGGGGAATTCTGCCATCTCGTGGTAGAAGAGTAGAAGGCAGACGTTACATGGCTTTAGGTCAACTGATTTAATGTATGCCTACTTCCTCTGCTAACAGAATCACATTATCTCTTGGTTTCCTGTGAAGTAAGTTTAAGTGCCAGATAGCTTTCTGTATTATATGCAGTTCAGTAGTAGACAGAAAATAAATCATAGTTTTCTTTCCCCAATTAAAGGTTATGAAAGCCACACATTTTAGGTAGACTTGAGGCATAAACAGAAGGTGACCGAACACTTAATTTAAACTGTGTTTCTGAGTCAAGTCTTTGGGGCCATGCTACTTCTGGTCCAGCTCAGCTTATCCCTCCTACGAAGTCAGAGTATAGAAGTCTTTATGGTTTGAAACAGGGAAGACAAATCCTCTTTCTGGCACTTGCAATGTCTCTATGTCAGGAGAAGAAATTGCTCGAAAATCATCAACTGTATAAAAGGGCCTAAATTAGACATATTAAAGCAATCCAGGGCTGAGGTTGTAGCTCAGTGGCACCAAGCCTGCCTGACAAGAGCAAGGTCTTGAATTCAATTCCCAGTATGGGAAAATATAAAGCAATCCAGGGACTGAGATATCCATAGTTTCCCTTCTAAATCAAAGGAAGAGCTCCCTGGTGTGTTGGGAGGACACCCAATACTGTGTTACCACCTGCTGCCTTTTAGAAGAAGAGTCAGCACTTCTGGAGGTATGACAGGCTGGGATAATGATGTTGGCGCACTCAGGTGCCTCAAGCTGAGGACAGCCTTCTAGCTCAGATACAGCAAGGATTTGGTGCAGAGGGAGGCAGGGCTAATCATGGAGGAAGAGAAGGGAAGAGCCAAGAAAAACACACAAATGGGTTTGTTCTTTCCTCTAGGTCTTCTGCTATGAGTAAAGAGAAAACTTTATACAAAGTAGTTGACAATAAAGGCAACATCATTGGCAATAAAAATTATAGACTACGAAATACATTAATGTGGGCAGCAGTGACAGAGCAAAAGCAGAAGAGTACTAAGGACTCTAGAGGGAAAGTCCATGTAGCAGCCCCATTCCAGGTAAAAAACAAATAAGTACTAGATACCAGGGTCTCCACCCAGAAATTGGGGGGAGGGGTGCATATATTTCTCTCTCTCTCTTTTTCTTGAGACATGGTCTTGTTTTGTACTTCAGGCTGACCTTGAACTCAGTATGTAGCCCAGACAAGCTTGGAACTCATGGTAATCCTCCTGCCTCACGAATGCTGGGATTACACCATGCCCAGTGACGTTTCTTATGTCAATAGGACATTACCTTCCATTTCCCTTTTCTAACTTTAACTTCATTTCTTTTAGTCCTAGCTTTTAAAAAAATTCTGCAATAACTAAGCAGTTTATTGGTAAGCATTTTAATATACTATTTGGAAGTGTTTTTGTCACTACCTATTCAATATAACTAAAACTGCTTCCTGAAAACTGTCTTCTGGCACTTTTGTCTGTATCTATTGAAGTTATAACATGCTAGAATCAGAAAGGATCTTTTCATTTTGTGAAGAAACTAGAAACAGGAAGTATTAGGGGTTTGTTCAAGGTCAGCCTTGTGGTAAATATAAAGCAAACTTTCTGAATTATCAGTGATTACTCTTTCCTTCCCATTGTGCCACCTCCACCTAAATGGATTTTAAAACCTTGTTTTAGAAAAACACTCACTGAGCTTGTTAGGAAAAATCATTAGTCCTAGAGTAAGTGTACAAAAACAGTTTATCTAGGAAAAGAAATTAGCTATCTTATATTCCTCACTTTCTTCTTTGTGTAGTCAGGGACAAGGGAAAAACCTCATTAAAGTTTACACTATAAATGTTTTTTTCTCCCCTTTATCCTTTCTCAGTGTCCGGAGCTGATTTAAGGGAGCTCAAAGACCTTATGTCTTTGCGGGGGACCCTAATATCTCAGCAACTATAGCACTTAGAACTCACAGACTGTATTTTGCTTCGTCAAGCTCTTTCATTTGTCCAGCCTGTAATATCTAATTATTAATCTAATAAACTGTAGTAGTAGTGTTTCTCTGTGGCAGCACACATACACCAATCTGCCCAGAGGCTTGTCTACGGACTGCTCGGCTTTCTCCCAGCAGTGGCCAGCTAACGCCTGGCAAGCTTTAACTGGACGCTGTGGATCAAATGGTCGAAAAGTGGCAGCCAAGTTCGTCTTTCTCTGTAGGGTTTATTTACTGGTCAATTGGCCCTTCAATGTTAATTTTAGCTTTGTCCAAAGATGGGACTTCTTTTCGTACTCAGAGTATTTTTAATTGACTCAGCCTCAGTTTTTTCCATTGTTGTAAACTCTGTTGAAAATTGGTTTTCAATACTGTGATAAAGTATCAGAAAGAAGTGGCCAGACTTCATTTGGGGGCACCAAAAATTTAAAAATTTTCCTCTTTTGTGAGACCCTAAAACTTTAAGATCTCCAAACTGACAAACTGTATCAATAAAACAGCATAAAAGAGTAACACTATAAAATTATGATGCACTTAAGACTTTTTAAAAAATAACTTCTGGTTTTTCTTAGTAGAAAGTTGCTAACTTTCAGAGATTTTAATTTTAAAATCTTTTATGAAAGTGTTGATGATAAATGGTAGCTGGAGTTTTAGTATACCTGACAAAATAAGTTGGCATCTGTATTGGGCCCCAGTTTTGTTTTTTCCAAAGACTTTAAAAAGCAGTTTTATCACATGAAAATAGAGCACAAGTAGATTTCTCGTACACCTCTTGCTCCCACATACACTGCCTCCTTCAGAATCAGGATCAACCCTCGCTAAGAGTGGTATAGTCCGGAGAATCTAAAAGAACACACCATACTCACCAAGTCCACAGGTCACATTAGGGTTCACTCTTGGTGGTGTACATTGTATGGAGTCAGACAAATACATAATTACATGTATCTACCATCTCAGTACCATCTGGAGTAGTTTTGCTGCCCTAAAAATCCTATGCACTATTGAAAAGTTTTAAAATTTTACTACAGTATTTTGTGAAACCTCAGTCTTAAGAAACTACACCTGGAAATTTTCAGTGTAATACAACCTAATGGAAAACTATGGATGAATCACGCTACTTTCTAGATTCAATTAGTCATAACCAGCAATCTGGATAACCCAATCCAATCAAACACCTGGTATTTGTAACAGACCTAAGCTAACACACTCAGCTTTTACAATTCTTGACATTTCTGAAGTGTATGAGGATCCTACAATCTTAATACCAAGTGAAGAAATTCAAACTCAAATCAAACTCTGACATACAGATTTCAATAAATTTTTCCCATTTTTATTTTTTATTAGTACATTTGCAGTACCTAATGATTACACTCTTAACAAGCACATGGATAAGTGTATAAACCTGTTCTGTAAGCTCACTAAGCCCCACTAACTGATCTGGTAAATTCACTCAGCACTGAAAGTAGGCTTGCCAATATTCCCATAGAACTATCCTAATTGAATCAGCGGCAACAACTAGAAATCCTCAAACAAAATGCCAAGAAGCAAGACTTAGGAATCAGACCTAAGGTACCATGCCTAAGGGTCAAAGGCCACAAAACTGTTTCCTTTTCATGCAAAGAAAAGGAGCCACTCTGAACTAAATTAACATTTCCTGAATATCTCTAGCTTTACCAATGAGAACAGCTACTGCTATGTATTATATTGTTTAACAAATTACTAACTTCACAAGAAAATATTTACTCATCAAGCCCTCTGGCTATGACTGAGAGATGGACATCAGAAGCACTAAGTTGTCTGTGGCATTCTGATTAGAACACTGGCTGTTCACCTCCCACAGTGGGAAATCCCTTAGTGTAATCACTGCCTGCCACTGGGGTGCATATAACCGCACATGTATAAAAGCAACACTGCCTATTCCGAATAGGATGAAGGCAAAGTACACACAATGAAGAAAGGATACCATGCCTTCTCCAACTGCTTGGGACCCAACAAATTTTATTTCAGAAGATAAGGGATAGGCAGCATGAAGTCAGGGAAGGGGATAAAGGAATCTATCTTGTTTTGAAAAGATTTCTGTTAAGAATGACATGAACCCTTTCAGGAACTATAACTTACTTTTACTAGGACTCTATAACATTCTGTGGCTTGTTATAAAAATCACTGTTAACATCTTTATTTTTATTAGAAAAGTCAAATTTAATTTTTTATTCTTATAATTGAGGTATTGCATCAGTTCTAGGTGTAAACACATCAAATGGGGAATAAATAAACTAAAAAAGAAAAAGACTGCCTATTCATTACAGTAACCATGATTTTACTGAAAATAAAGTGAGATAAACTCCAAAAAGGCAAAACTAAAACTCTAAAAACAAGTTTATATTCTCTATATGTTAAACATGAAAAGAAACTGTAGTGGTACCAAAGCGCCAACTCTGCCTGAGGAAGCATTCTCTCTAGTGGTTTTTCACTGGATCTAAAACAAAGTTAGAACACCAGAAAAATCCCTAGGTCAAATAAATTTAATAAATTTAAAAATAAATTTAATTTTTTATTAAATCAGCACCTTCAGGTTAGAGTGATTTAGAAAGAATCCATTTGTTGTTTTTTTTTTCTTTTCTTTTCTTTTTTGAGACAGGGTCTTACTACGTAGTTGAGACTAACCTGGAACTATATAGCCCAGGCTGGTCTCAAACTCACAGCAATGCTCCTGCCTCAGCCTCTCCTGAGTACTTAGATTACAGGCGTGCACCACCACAACCAGCTAGTTTCTTTTTCTTAAAAACTTTTTTCTTTTGGTTTTTTGTTTGTTTGTTTGTTTTTTAAGACCAGGTCTCACTACATAATTTAGCTGGTCTTGAACTCACTATATAGCTCACGCTGGCCTGAAGCTCCAGTGATCTTCCTGCCTCAGCCTCCCAAGTCCTGGGATTATAGGTGTACACTACTATGCTTAGCTTTTTCAATTTTTGGGTGTTTTTTGTTTTTTGAGACAGTCATTAGTTTCTTGACTCTAAATAGCTGAAAACTCATGCAGCTAAAATACCCACTCTTTTTAAATCTACTTACACTTATTCAACAAAAACACTGGATTAAAATAAACTTATAACTAAATAAGTAGACTTAAATAATGACAAATAGAGTGTTAAAAGAATCTGAAATTGGAGTTATTTCATGTAGCAAATATTTATTGAATTCCTATTATAGGCACTGTTCGAAGCACAAGACACTAGAAAAAAACAGTAATTATCTTACTCTAAATTTATTTTAGGGTGAGATAGGTTTCTTGTAAAAGCTGTTACACAAATTCTAAAAGCGCCATAATACTACCCTATTTTAAATATAGAGAAAAGTTATAATCCTTGAAATACTATTTTTATATTTTAGATGTTGGTGTTTAAACAAAAAATGCTTTGACAACATTTAGTAGCTTCATCCATTCCTTCATGAATACATTCTATACTTTATAAAATTCTAACTTCTTGTAAAGCAGCTGGGCATCTGGAGACCAAACCCAGGCTACAACACAGAGCTTTGCATATGCATAGGAAGCAGGGCCTTTAGCAGCTCTGGAGAAGCCATAACTTCCTGTAAGGCTCTGGGGCCTGTTTTGAGGTAGGGCATTCCCAAAGTACCATCAAATGTTGGTGGTTGTCACTGAATGGCTCTCAAGTGGTTTACAGTTTGGACCACTTTTGGGGAAAGAAATGTTCATATTAATGGGTAAAGGCCTGGGAGGTTAAATAAATCCTATGATACAATCCTAGTCTTTTCCTGTGAAGATGCTAGTCCTCAAAAGAGACACTAAGCTGTTGTCACCTGGTATAGTAATAAAGATAAAAACTTCATTTTGTCATGTATTTTTTCTACTAGAGAACATGCCAGATAATTTGAGCATTATACTTTACCAGATACAAAAAGTATTTATATTCTACAAAAATATTTCAGTGAAAACCCAGGAGAGTACAAAAATCACGTAATAACTGGTGTTCTATATGCTGGTTTGGTCAAGGAGCTGTTATAGGAAAATGGAAAGAACTTACTTCATCAAGTAGTTCTGAAAAGAAAATCTGTAACTCTGAAGACTGCTTATTATAACCTATCATAGATTTCTTCAAAAAGTGTATTTAAAAAATAAATCACGTAAAGAATTATAAAGATTGGTTTGGTGATGCTTTAACTTCAGAATGTTTGTGAGGAAAATATATATAAAACCTACCACCTCTGAGCCGAGTATGGTGGTACATACCTCTAATTTCAGCTAGTTGGGAGGCTGAGGCAGGAGGATCCCAAGTTAAGGGTCAGCCTGTCTCAAAAAAGTAATGAGGATGTAGCTCAGTGAGGCCCTGGGTTTAATATCCCATACTACCAAAAACAACAAAAGAATGTAAACACCTCAATGCAATTAAATACTATTAAAATGATAGTTCCCAAACTCTGGCACACATCAAACTTTCCTTGAGAAAGTTTAGATTGCTGATGCCACCCCCAGAGTTTCTGACACATTTCCAGATGATTCTGACAGTGGTCTGAGCAGGACACTTTGTGAACGAGTCCGTTTTCTGATCTAGTCTCCAGAATTCAAATTAACAGGCCATTTCCAGATGTCTGCTTTTTCTAACAGTAAATAAATAAAAAGATCATTTCAGATATGCCACCATCAAACTTGAAACGTTTAGAACCTTGAAATGTTCTACTTAAATAGAACATATAATTTATTTATCTTGACTCAATGATTGTCATGAGTGCAAAACAGAAGCACAGAATAGTTCATTAAGGTGGATAATGTATGACTACAAGAAAACATTCATTTATAAAATATATAGCAATTGTTAGCACACTGGGACCTTGCTCCTACCTTCTCTATGCCCCTTCCCTGTAGAAAATACAACAGGAACTCATGAGTATTGTTTTCAGAATGCGAATACAACTTATTATCAATGTACATAAATATCACAGTGAATTCTAGTACTCAGGACTCAGGTTCTGGAATGTCTTCATCTGGGGAACAGTAATAGTCCACAAAACATACTTGTCCATCTTCATTTCTAATCATATACTGTAATGAGAGGAATCCTCGGTTATCTGTCCTGATAGATACCTTACATGATAAAACTAATGCCTTTGTAGAGGGTTTCAGTAAGGAAATCTTGTACCTGTACAAGAGTAAATAAAAAGTCATTTGTTATTTGGATGTAAAACACAGTGCTTGTAACTCCAAGTATAGAACAAAAATTAGCCAAGAACTACTGAATAGCAAATATGAGAATAAAATCAAATATTTATCCAATTTCTAATACCGTCTCTTGCTTTTTTTATTCATCCACTACTATAACCCCAAATCTCCAAGTAAATCAAGCATCCTGCCACTCATTTTAAATATTATGCAATTTTATTAACAGATTGAAATTTGGTATTTAACCTTACTGTTCTCACCAATGGCAATCTCTATTTTAAGAACTGACCTGTTCACCTGGGTCTGATTACAGTGAAATGCTTCCATCAAATCACAATCTTTGGGATAGTCAAGGTGGGAGCTTCCTGCGTTTCCAAAAGTAGATAACCTACAGTAGAAAATGAGCAAGTCACTTATTCACTGGTCTAACAATAAACAATACTAGGATCCAAATAAATAAAGCATTTGCTTCAGGAGCTTATTCTGGTGGGTGAATTGGACATATAAATGTTTAGAGTGGTGGCATAAGCCTGTAAATCCCAGCCCTTGGGACCTGAGGCAGGAGGATCACTGTGAGTTCAAGGCCACTATCAGCTTTTCCAAACATTTAAACCCAATATTTCTCAATAGTTCTGATCTAAAACAGTAAGTAGTACAACAATGAAAAGACCACTAGTTTATGAATTACAAAACTAGGTTTCTCAACTACAAACCAACACGGCCTAACTACAAAATCCTAAATAGTGAGTTATTCCTCTAGGTTTTAAGGCTCTTGATCTATAAAATTATGAATACAGAATAAAAACTCTCAAACTTCTGAAAAATTCTAGGAACTTAGATTAGAATTCCACAAACTAAACAAATGTATAACTGGGGAGACTGAGTAGTAACCACATGCACTATAAATGCGCTGCTTTCAAGTACCGGAAATATGGCTTGTCAGGCGATATTGTGATCTGTAGGACCTCACTTGTCATATCCAATTCAGAAAATGCTTCACGGAGTCCCTCTGACTGCAGAATAATTTTACTGATAACATTGGTGGTGCAGAAATCAAAATCCAAAGTTTCCTGGGGCTCTTGAGTATTGATTTTACAGACCGTCACCACTCCACCTTCTTCCAGAAATAGCATCAAAGGGTGACCATATCCTTGGTAACACATCCGAAGTGCAGTTAAAGTCCCTGCAATGGAAAGAATTCAGCTTTAAGGTTCTTGATTTAGCTTCTCCAAATAACATATAAAATCCATCAAAAATAATTTATTCTGACAAATTTCTTAAAAGAAGTTTCTAGAATAACTGCAGGAAAACTGGGAATCAGAACAAAATTTAACTAGTAATTTTCAGCTTACCAAAAGTGTCTCAGCAATTGTTTAGTGATCTCATTTTAAAATCTGCCAAAAAAACCTAAACATCAGAAAAACTTCTATAAATATTTTAATACTAAATTTATCGAGACATCATGGGATTAATACAAGAGAAATTTGGCTTCTACAATTATAAGAGGTGCTCGAAGTGGTGGCCATTAGCTTCCTGACATTTATTAGCACAGCAAACTACTAAAGTGTATATACCCTTTTTTGGCAATCTCTCTCTCTCTCTGTCTCTGTCTCTCTCTCCCTGTCTCACTCTGTATAGAATTTCAGGATGGGGACTGTAAAAAAAGGCTAGTAACAGAATGGTTGCCAAATAGGCTATGCTGTTTCTTGAAAGCTCAGTCTGTGCAAGAAGTAAACTGCTTTCATATTGTTTTGTATTTCCTGTGTATTCCCTGTGATAAAGATTCTTTCAACCTCTCCTATTGGGAGACAGTCTTTAAATTTTCTCAGGTTTTAAGATCATATTGGGAACAGAAGAGAGGGTGTCTAATGCCAGTGTGAATTTTAACATATCAAATCAGAAATGGCAAGAAGGAAAATAACAAAATATCACAGCTCCCCTTTCTCAGTGGATAGAGCTGGTGTAAGGAATGAGGTAAGGTAGAACCTTTTAGAAAAAAAAAGTTGGGAGGCAACTTTATTAGAAAATATGTAATAGTGGAACTGTCAGTGCAAAATTAAATATATTTTCTAGAGCTGTAACTGAATTTTCCCTGGCTAATATTCAAGTTACTTTTCTATAAAATAATTATTTTTTTAGGGATTCCTTGTAGTTTTATACCAACTGAATTTCATCATTTCTAAAAACAATTCCCCAAGCCATTAAAA